TAAGCTAAGATTTGACTAAGAAACTTTAAATGCATATTTTTTCTCTCTCTTTCTTTCCCCTGAGGACACAGTACAGTGTCCTTGCTTCCATCCCCTCTGAAGGATGAAAGCTAAGATGTGACCTGTTTCCTCTGGCTATAGGGCCCTTTTTAATCCCCATGTATTCCTAATTTTTTATATATAGTATATTCCTTTTATATTCCTAATTGTATATAGATAGTATATTTAGCTGGGTCTCACCGATTAGCAAAGCATGTGTGCTAAGCTAGACGTTTTTGAGACTGTAATAAAGTTTATTATTATTATTATTATTATTACTATTATTTAATAAATTATCTTCAACCCTACCTTGAATGCTGTTTGCTTTTACTAATTGTGCACAATCTATCAATACATCTTGTGGAATAGCTTCTATGTTCTTTCCCTTCAAATCATAATATAGAAGATTGGATGTAGATGTATATGTAAATTATTAATAGACAACAAAAGCTCACATCAGGGCTATTGCTTACTACCAATTACGTGACTTTTGGTTGAGTTGACTAGGGGGCAATTAATATACAAGTAGCAAATTTTAAGTCAAAACATGTCAAAATAGTTCTCAAAGTATTGTATCTGACTATTCGTACTACCTGACACCAGAAATCAAGATACACATACAACCTCCAAGAACTTCCAAGCCTCAGAATGTTAATTGTCCCCCAGTCAAAAGATAGATATCGATATAAATATTTATAGTACACTCAACAAAATTACTCGAATCTGAGTGGTCGAGAGGAGTACAATTATAGCGTTAATTGTACTCCATAGGAGTACCAAATTAAGTTGCTATGGAAAGACGGCCAAAACAATGTCAACAGCGGCAAAAAAAAGCCGTAAAAACTAATAATAACTAATCTTTTTACGCATTTCAGTTGCGTGATGGACTAAAAATCAGCCGCCAAATAGACAAAGATGAACGGCGTCGCTTCGCATTTTCACTGAAATTTTGTTGAGTGAACTATAAACAAAAAATCGCACAATCTTCTCGTACAATTTGGAATTAATAGACACTCATAGTGTTTTGAAAGTTCTTTAATTGCACTCGCCTAAAGTTTTGTGCAATTACAAGAACTTTCAAAACATTACTTGTGTCTATTAATTTCCAAATTGTACTCGAGATCGTGCGATTTCCTTAATTATTATTGCTGGTAATTGGTCTATGTCTGGCCAGAATTAGAAATTTTCCTGTCAAATCTTTGCCTTGCCGGTCATTTGGACTAGTAATTTTGATCCAGTAATAAGTATGACTGAGACAGACCAGCCATATTATTTTAAGACCTTCACGTGGATGGTATAAACACCCTGTGCCTTTCGATTTCTGTAAGAGCTACAATTTGAAAGCCAATAAAGTGCACCAAGAGAAAGGTGGCTATTTACATCTGTTTTTTTTATTTTAGCCGAATATTTTTGAATGATAGAAGGAATAGAAAAAAAATACTATGCAAACTTCAGCAAACTAGTTTGCATAWTGCAAACCATATAGTGTAAACCATTATATCCCTGAAATAGTACTAGCTAGTTAGTACAAAATAGCACCAATTAAACAATAATTGAAAACAAAAGGAATAGATGTGTTACGAGCTKTTTAGTTTTTGTGCTATTTCAGGGATATAAGGTTTACACTCTATTGGACACTTCTATAAGAATGCCCTGATAAAGTAGCTCATGAACTTTGTAGATTGTTTTACCTTGGGCAGTCGTAGATATACATGAGCTGACGACAGTTTGTCAACATGAAACCTATCCATTATCAAAAGGCAATATACAATCAATACTGGATTTAACTGACCAATACATTTAGTAATTCAATGATGAAATTGATAATCAATTGAAAGTATAAATGTATGTATAAATATATATACCAAATATCTTCAGGGAAACCCCATTTGATGAGATCTTCATCTGCAAATATATGACAATTTATTACCAACAATTTTTTTATTTTTATCTCAAACTTCCACTTTTAGATATGATACAGAAAAAATATTTTTTAAAACAATTATTTCTAAATAAAGAAATACCTTCCATATGGGTAATTGCAAGCAAATTTTTTTCTTTCCATTTTGAGAGAAAAAATTCCTAAAATTTAGAAACAATGCAAGAATTTATAACCCATAACTTACTTTCAAATTTATCTAACCCCATGTAGATGGTGTATGTCTCTGGTGGGGAGGCTAAAAACCATGAAAAATAAAAAAAACCTTTGAGTCAACAAGAATAAATAAGTATAACAGAATGTCTAGTGGGTTTATAATGTYTTACCATTGCTAGTAAAGTAGAAAACCATGATTTTAAAACCAAATTCTCGAGAAATCTTTTTCCATACATTCGAAACGTGATTTTTTTGATTTTGGTCACGCTTGGTCGAGGAGAGCTGGGAACGAGCCCAGATGCATGATGGGAATATTTTGATCTGAGGTTTGTTGCTATGGAGACGTAAACRCTGTTGAAACTGATGCCAGGGAAACCAACAACAAGCCTCATTCATTTCGAAGCTTTGATCAAGGAAGTTTGAGGCAAATTTTGTCCATCTTGAAGCTAAAATATGGCGCTTACAAACCCTAAGGTTCCTCCACGGTTCGCCATGTCRGACTGGCACACTTCAAATACCGTCATAAGGACTAATGCTGAGAGACAAAGAGAATCGTCCCATCAGATCCGACAAGAAGGAAGATGGCTACGAAACGAGACGGATAACCACACAAGGTGGACTCAACATGACAGTAATACGAAGCTGGAGAAGAGAATTGATGATATCAATGACTGGAGGAAGAGTTTAGAGAGGTGTTTAGCTGAGACTGACCATGAGATTGCTCTTCTRAAGATCGAGAAAGAACGGACTGAAAGAGCTCTTGAAGCCAAGAAAGTGCCTTTGGATATCGCCCTGGAGTGTTTGATGCTGCGAGAAAATCGTCTGACTATCGATCTTGTTCGGGATGAAGTTGAAGCTCAACTACACAAGGTAAGAATTAGAAAAGAGCATTGCACATTTGTTCCTAGAAAGCGCCCTGGGTTTTTCTCAAGAAAATATTACTTTTGTTTTATTTTTTGTTTAGGAAGTGGAAGTAATCGAAGGAACAAAAGCTCTATTGCAACAAAAAGTTGACGAAGCATCCGAACAACTATGGTGAGGATAGAATGAACTTTTTAACGATAGTAGTAATTACTAAAWCCCAGCTTAGATTTGTTTATAGTTTTGTTTACTTTCCAGTTGAGAAAACACATTATGTAGTTTAAGTTGTTAACACCTGGTTGTCATAGAATGTTGCAACTATTATACGTAAACACTGTAGGCATGCGTTACACTGGTGCATGAATAAAGTATAGAATATAACTGAGTTGCTTATAATTGGCCAAGAAATTTCATAAAATATTCGATAGTTTGAAAGATTTTGTGTTCCTTTTATTACTTATGATCAGGAATGAAAGATGTACATAAAGAGTTTTGATAATTTAGCTTACACAGAAGCCCCTTTCTCTGTTTTAAAAATTATCTATCACTAAAATTGAAAAAAAAAATGTTTATCAGTTGAAGTGTGAGAAAAGGGCATTCTATATTTTCCTCTGAATCTTACAAGACAGACATTTTTCCATGAGCACACAGGTAGCCCAAGCTAGGTTTTTTACGGTGAAATATTATAAGAAAATGCATAGCTATACTTAAAAAGCATCAATAAAATCGTCTAAATTTAAAATAAAGTAAAGAAATCTTAGCTGACCTTTGATAAGTAGTACCTCTTTTGGCCTGTGTACTAAGATTTTGGATTTAATTAGTTTTAATGTTTTTTGTTGAGGGAAATAACATTAAAACTAATGAAATCCAAAATATATGTTATAATTGATAAGTGCGAAATGTAAATAAATGAATGATAATGATGAAAATATGTTTATTTTTCATATATATAAATTCTTACTTCTTAGTTTGCTTGAAGAGGCAAGACATCAGCTTCACTTAGACCTTACAGACAAATACACTGCCCTGCAGATTGACGGTGATTGCCATACACTGAACAACATGTCTGCAAATATYGGCTTTCAAGTCAATCCGACCAGGACCATCAAAGGCAGTGTCACTCCAGAGACATGGGATTCTTTTTCAAATTATAACAAACTAAGAGCTGAAGCGGAAATGAAAGCATCCACACACTTGAGAGAGGCTATCTTTGCAACTTTACAACAGACAGCAAATGATTTGGAGGCTCAACGCAAGGCATCTGAGTATGCCTTTAGGAAGAGGACACATGAAAGCCAACAAGCTAGGAGTGAACTGGAATGGCAACAGAAAAATGTAAGTCCTTCATGATCAACTACYAATAGTCACAATTTAGAGGCTAGTTGCCACTTCTTTGAAACTCAGAAAGAACTTGGAACTTGAGTGAAATTGCATACCCTGTTTATGACAAGAAGCTCAAAAAACCATACCCTGTTTAGCGGATCATCCCCGTATAGTCCATATATGGGAGTGCCCCCCAGGGATTGACTGTTCTTTACCACATCCAGGGTCCTTTTTGAAGACAGATGTGTTACATTAATCCTTTTAGTTATTCATAGTGTACTGATTTTTTATGGAACCCTATATTATGTTTACAGACTGAGAAAGAAATAGCAAACATGGAGGATGACATAAAAGCGTTAAAAGAAGCCATCGATGCCAAGAATGCGCCAATGATGGTATGTAGAAATGAACTGTTGCTCCTAAGGACATTTTGACAGCACAAAATACTAAGGCCAAATACAAATGTTGAACTTTGCATAAGCTGAACCTAATGAGATAAAAGAAGACTGCCTTATTAACCATTGTTGTCATTGCATAAGGCTCATGTGAAGTTCAATTTTCAAGATTAAAATCTCTATCCCATTCCCTTTGATAATTCTTCCTGGATTACTTTYGTACACTTTTGTCATTTGTATGTTTTATGTCATGGAAGATGTTTCGACTAATCAGTGATATTGATCTTTGGTTACTTTAGGTTGCACAGACACGTCTTGAGAATCGTACTTACAGACCTAATGTAGAACTGTGCAGAGATCAGCCTCAATACCAGCTGTGTCATGAAGTTGCCGAGATCAGTGGGTCTATACGAGCTTTAACTGAAAAGCTTAGAGAATCAGAAAACTCCTTGCAAGCCTTGCGCAGCAACCTCAACCGCATCAATGAAGATCTTGGAGTGAAGAACAACTCTATTGCTTTAGAAGGAAGATGTATGAATGTAAGGGAGAAAATGAGGGAGGTGCCCCACAGCATGATTGACATGCACCCAATGGGTCCCCYTATCGGCAACACACAATACACCACGACAATGAACTCTCTTGGTCAATATACTACTACTACCAAGGACACGACTTCTCCTCAGATGATTCTCCCACCTCRAACTGGCGGCCACTTTAACCCTCCTACAAGGCAATACACTCTGCCTACAGGATACACCGGTAGCTTGAGAGCTGCTCCACAACCAACRCTGAGGTACACTGCTACTCCTATTGCTGAATAAATGACTTTTTTWAAAACTAATTATTGATAAGACTGTTACCTTATGCTGATTGAATAAGGATAATATGTATGGTTGTCATGGAAACTGTTATCTCTTGGGTGTTACAGTGCACAGTGTTGAGTCAATGTAAATTTTATTTAATAATGCAATGTACAGCTTTATACGGCCAATAAAAGATTACATTACTCTGACATCAGCATGACATGTAAATGGATACATTATTAAATATTTTTTAAAAACACGTAGTTGATAGTAGTATTTGATTTCATACGAAAATTGATAATAACTCGCTTCTACGCTTCGCGTATTGAGTTAAAATCTAGTTCACTTGATTTCACTTGCAATGCCTATAAATTATATTGTCACTAAATACTATTTCTTTTCTATTGCTTACCTACTTCATAGACTTGTTTACAAATGATCTTGTCAATATCTAAATGTTTTCTAATATTGTGATCATATTGACTTAATTGGAGAACTGTTATAATAAATAAAAGAAAAAGCAATCACTAGCTTGACTAAAAGTTATAAAATTTTCCGTTATTGATATTCTTTATAAAATATCTCTACAATAGAATTAATATCTAGAGTGATAGTTTTTTTGTGTAATAGCAAAATGAAAAGAGTGGAAATAAAATCTAGGAATCTACCAACTTTTCAAAGGTTACTAAATATTTAAAGCACACTCATTAAGCATGCAAGAGTGTAAACCAAAATGCGATGGACTGTACAGCTAATATATTCCTGAATTCATTATTCTATATCCTTAGTTACTGTAATATTGCTATGTCGGACAAGCAAAAATGCATTTTTATATACAGCATGGAACAGACAAAAATAAAGGCATTCTAAAAGTAATTTAAGAAAACAATTGATAACTAATAAAAGACTTTCTGAATTTGACTACATGTTTGTTGGAATTTCTATTATCCATTGGAAAAACTAACCATGATTTATTTGGTGGTCACTCAAGAAAAGCAGGGATTGATGGATTCTGTTAATAGACCCCTGGCAGCACGTCAGAATGCAGCTCAATTTTGAGGATGACAATAGGTTTCCAATTCTCTTGAGATTGAAATTCTTTCATTTTGTCCTCTAAAATTGAGCTGCTTTGATTGACATGCCCAAACATTTAGCTCAACTAGCTCAAGCTATTTCTAAATGTCTGTGCTCTCGTCAACTGCAAAATAACATTCTATTAAATATCACATATAATTGTAACGTCACTTCAGGAGCACGATAAAATTGTTGTTGTTGTTGTAAGGGGTTTATGTTGAGTAGAAAATAACTAGGAAACATCCATAATTTATGTACTTAAAAGAATAAGGATTTTGAGAGTAATAAACTTTGAAAGTCTCCTATATAAAAGTTGGTCAAGACTTTTCATCCAATAGCAGTCTCAATGCCAGTAAGCAAACCAAGTGTTAAGAAAATCCTTATCCCATAGAACCAATCATGTAAACTAATGGGTTATCTGATAAGCTTACATTACACGAATAGAATCATACAAGGACTGTATAGCAGCTGCCAAAGGTGCCTTCACATGTTTTCAATTCAACCCTGTTGAGATGCGCTACTGTCGTACTTACAGTGGTAATAAGCGCTAACAAGATTTTTGACAGATAATAGTCCTAAAGGTGACAGTATGTTCATGTTAAACAATTAAAAAAAAATCGAAATTTGTTTCAAAAAAATCTCATATTACATTTGGACATGGAAGATATCTGAGTCAGTCAGAGATCCACTATCTTATTACTATTTTCAGGTAAAATATTGTCAAATGAATGCCTTTATATTNTGAGTATGTTTGTTGGAATTTCTAATATATTCCATTGGAAAAACTAACCATGATTTATTTGGTGGTCACTCAAGAAAAGCAGGGATTGATGGATTATGGAAATAGACCCTTTGCAGCACATTAAAATGCAGCTCAATATTGAGGACAACAATAGGTTTCCATTCCTCTTGAGATTGAAATTATTTCATTTTGTCCTCCAAATTGAGCTGCTTTGATTCATATGCGAGGACATGCCCAGACATTTAGCTCAACTAGCTTAAGCTATTTCTAAATGTCTGTGCTCTCATCAACTGCAAAATAACATTCTATTAAATACCACATATAATTGTAACGTCACTTCAGGAGCACAATAAAATTGTTGTTGTTGTTGTTGTAAGGGGTTTATGTTGAGTAGAAAGTAACTAGGGAACATCCATAATTTATGTACTTGAAAGAATATGCCAGTAAGCAAACCAAGTGTTAAGCAATCCTTATTCCATAGAACAAATCATGTAAACTAAGGGGTTATCTGATAAGCTTACATTACATGGACAGAATCATACATGGACTGTATAGCAGCGGCCAAAGATGCCTTCACATGCTTTTAATTCAACCCCGTTCAGATGCGCTACTGTTGTACTTACAGTGGTAATTAGTGCCAACAAGATTTTTTACACATTATCCTAAAGGTGACAGTATGTTCATGTTAAACAATTTAAATAACAGTCGAAATTTGTTTAAAAAATCTTATATTACATTTTGGACATGGAAGATATCTGAGTCAGTCAGAGATCCACTATCTTATTACTATTTTCAGGTAAAATATTGTCAAATGAATGCCTTTATATTTGAATACTCCTTCTTTTCATTTAAAGTAACTGACCTGGGCAGGATCTACCTGTCCATGAGATTCAAGTCAGAATGAGAGTAGAAAATAATTAGTGAAATATTTCTATGCAACCAGGTTGCTTCTTGACATCACTCTCTCTGTCACTGGTTTWTCTTTACAGCACCAAGTCAGAGCTACTTGACCCAATATAATCATCAGTAATAAAGACAGGCCTGTGGATGACAGAAAAGATGTCTGTGACCATTCATTAGCTACATTATTACACCATAAGAGGGATAATGGTCCCAAAGATTTCATGAAACAGTGTGATGAATATGGTGTCTACCTAGTTTATAACACAACACCCATGTCGTGCTATAGAAATCAGTAGACTGCGGCATCCAATCGTTTTTGTTTCAGATCAACAGCTATTAAAATTTGTCACATGATATCCTTTAATTATGTACCATGTGAGCAAAAGCTAGAAAGCTTTAACATGATAGTACAGATGTCACCAAACTGGGTCGTCATATCAGATCATCTTGTCATGGTCATGGCTTAAGACGTCGACCGCACCCACAAAAATCAACCTTTTAGTCTGCATTATTCCTTCCTTCAAATGTCCACATACTTTCATAATTTAATTTCCCACAAAGTATTAAAAGAATTTAGATAGACAACTAGTATACRTAAGTCAGCCAATCAGAATGCATAATTTATGATAGACCATTAGTAGATTTAGACGGATAGAATTGAGATAAATGCATTTGAAATGCATATGAAATAATCCAACTTACCAAATGCAAGCCACCAATGCCAATTGAGGGGGAAATCTTGCATCACTGTGAGTCAAAATTATAACATACYTTCAACATTTATAACAATCATTATAATTAAGGATTGGTACTTGGTTAGCGTGCATCCATCAAGTTTTGGGTGCATGTAGGAGGTTGTTTTTCACAGGCATAGCCGAGTGCGACTTTAGCTTCTTGAGTGCTTAAGCAACCTTCCGCGTGCACCAAAAACTCGATGGATGCACGCTAACCAAGTACCAATGCTTTTATAACATAGCAAAAGCGTAAAAATTCTTTGTTAATTGAGAAAAATTCAAATGTTTTTTCTAACAAAATTTGCATTACATAGCGTGCGCTACTCATTGATGTCAGCGGCATGCACCATGGGTTTTTGGACGCATGCTAATTAACCAATCAGAGCGCAGGTTATATCGTGGCTATGTTATAACAACCAAGAAACACRAAGATACTGTAAGGTAACCCACTTATAGACATCTTACACTGAGTCCCAACAGGATTTGTTCTGGGGGACAAAACAATGAATCTTTTTTGCATATAAGAAAAAATATTTTGCCCCAGGACAATATTCTAAATAGCGCATTTCTACAATATCACAATGTACTTTACTTTTCTTTGACCAGTGGGCTGTATATTAAGGCACTATTAGCAGCTTAATAAGTAAATAATTAGTAGATTAGTAGAATGCCTCCAGATTGGGATAGGCTGTTGAACCGGATAACAATCCCCTACTCTTACATGAATATTCAAGTACAGTACACAGTTTCCCAGAGTGCTCTGTGAACTCTGATGCATATTGCCTATGGTGTAGTTCAAGAAATTATCCCTCCCTCCCCCCCCCCTCCTCCTACAGAGGAATTCTGAATTTGGAATTTCTGAGGGGTAGGGGTTGTCAGAGCAAGGACAAAATTACAGAGCTTGTATGGAAGAAAATTGGATTTCCAGGGGTGGGGGAGCATAGATAATTTCTGGAACTACGCATTGTATATTTGTACCTGCACAAGTGATACCAACATGTATAAGGGATATAGTAATGGCATAATCCCATATCCTCTGCCGTATGAATATTAGAAATATCCCAGTACATGTCATGTATGTTAATACCAGTGCTAGAAGATTGACTGCAAAAAGGAGAAAAAATTTATGTTAGCATTTTGTAACATTTGTAGACCTTAAAAAAATCAAACCTAAAAAAATAAAACTCTCTTTAACAAACATCCACTGTAAGAATTCTAAAGAATTTTAGTGCTGAGTTACAGGTAAGTTAGGGAGGTGGGAAGGTACATTTTTGGCCTGGGGGGGGGGGGTACTCCCATATATTTGCTATACAGGTACATGCCGCCAAACAGGGTATGGTTTTTAGCAATCCTACTCTGGAACAGGGTATATAAAATTGCGGTCTCTCTGGGACAGGGTATCCATTTTCATAATACCGGAAAAGGGTATGATTTTCAGCGATCTTGCTCTGGAACAGGGTATGAATATTAATTTCAGCAATTTTATTCTGGAACAGGGTCAGGGTTCCCTGAACGGGCAAGAGTACCCCCAGGGACTTTTGGAGGGTTGAGGGATTCACAGTAAACTTCTCTTTGAAGGGGAAGGGTAGGGGTGGCTGGTGCTATATGTTTAACCTTTTTTGGTTGGGCTTTATTCACTTGTACAATGGTAGAGGGTTTCGAAAAAAATTGCTTAGAGAAAACAACAACTTTAAAGTAACCATCCAGGATATTTCTCCACCCAGGGTAAAGAAAATAATAATTGCATTATGATAAATAGGCCAAGTCTATTTAAGGTCTGTCATATTTGATACATTGATTGTTGCAAATGTTCTGTGGTTGCCAAGCGGTGACACTTTAATTAACGTTTCACACTCAACTCAGGGCCCCTCAGGGCTATTAAAAACAAAAACAAAAAAAAAAACGATTTTTATTTCATTATTAATTAAAGGAAGGATGGAAAAAATATTAAGTAAGCTTAATAAGATTAACTCTTTAAATCTTACCTATATTTTTGTTATTTTCTATACAACAGTTTTTGAAATCAAATGGAATTTTCCCATCAAATGTTTGGATCCTAAAGAAAGAAGAAAAACAAAAAAGATCAAAAAGTTAATTAAAAATGGCATTTAACGGAAACTCTTTTCGGAACTGAAAGAAGAATGTCGATCAGCATGATTTCTAGTCAAGATAGCGCTTCTTTTCCTGGTATTTGTGCTATCCTTTATCTTCATGAATGGATTATTGCTTGGTTTAAGCAAATCTATGAAGCATATGATAAAACAACGAAAATAATAAGCAAAAAAGAGAGCAAAARTATAAACATCAACGAAGTCACAACTTACTTGAAGGCACCAACCAGTATTGAGGCGAACATATAAAACACGAAATAAAATAACACTAGGGCTATCCACAGGTTAAGACATATCAACTGTCAATAAAAATGATATAATAGGTAAGATGTTTGTTGGTTTAAGTCATAATGCAGTGCTAAATACTTGAATATTTCGGCCTATTTACCCGTGTTCCTGAACATATTCGCGTATCCATCGCCATCTTTGTTTGTTCTCTCTTGACAACAGGGACACAGGAAGCCCAWGCAATGAAAATAGAGAAAAATGTTTCACGTGCACGTGATACTGATAAAAATGAAAAATGAAAATAGAATAGAAGAAAAAAGGGAAAAAAAGGGGGAAAAAAGAGCGTTTAGTTTAGAAGAAGCAAAGAAGCTAGTAAGAATGCTAATTTGATGTTTTCGAAAATAAACTTACGTGTTTCGGCCGTCTCTTCTTGGCAACGTTTTCCGTTCTCTTCCGCCCTCATCTCATTTCCTCTAAATTCAATTTTTTTCATTTCCAACAGGGTACGAGCATAATTAACAGAACCTGCTAGACTTATGAATCGTTGTTTAATCACCTGAGTAAATAATAAAAAAGTCGATAACGACTTCAATTCAAATATGGAATATAATCAATAAAAAAAGATTTTTTACACAAATTCAATTACTTAGTTTTACTTCAATGACTAAAATCATCAAAATTGTTTGAAAATTCCAATATTAATCGGAAAAAAAAGTTTTCAATTGCTCATCAACTTTCAAAAAAATTTGAATAAAGTGGTTCTACTTGAGTGGGCTTCCTTTTTTTTCCGGTTCAATGGATTGTTTTGATTGGTTATTCAAATGACTGCTCGTTTGCTGACATGTGTTGAAGGGGAGGGGATGCACCAAACCATTGTATACTGGGTTCTGCTCCGTTGATCTGATTCTAATACTCCATCTGCCAACCGGTTGCGCCAATTTTTAAAGCAACCACTGCTAGTTTTACTCCGCTTTGGCATCAATGATGAAAAAAGAAAGGCGTCGATTGATCTGGAAGGCAATCTGAGATCAAATCACAGCGCGCCTAAGGTGACAATGTTAGGTATTCAATTACAGATTGTCATTCCTTCACATATTTTGAGACGCTGAAAAGCTTGTCTACTTTGAATCAAGAATATTCAAATCTGGCAAGCCATGCATCTTAAAACTTCTAACAGTACGGGAAACAGAGCCAGACCAGTGACTGTTAATTTTCCTTTGCCGAGAAAAGCAGTTTCTAAACTTCGTGCGTTGGCCATCGCAAAAGACCCAAGGCTTCTTGATTTAGGCGTACTAGCTGTCCAGATTACAGACGATGAAAGCATTGTCCTCGGGATTGAGCTCGACAAAACTAAAAAGAAAAGCGCTGTGTATGTAAATAAGGCCGCTTCACCTTCTTATGCTCATTCATCAGTCAACAGAGTGAGTTTTAACCCCAAGACTGTGGACCCCAGAAGCTTTACAACTACGACTACGTTTGATCCCCTCACTCATAGATACTCAGGAGCTAATGCTAGTCAACTTTCACAGGCTGCGAGAMATGTTAGTTTCGTGTCCAAAACAAAGAAACTAGCTCAGAATTCAGCTGCCAAAAAGCGGGCAAAGGATACTCTTAATGCTGCGAGACGTGGACGAGGCAGAGGACGAGCGGGGAAGACTATTGGACAGACTAAAACTTCAATCAGAGCCAGTACATGGGAAATGGTCTACAGTCACATTGGTTTACCAAGAGAGCATCGTAATGAAGCTACAAACCTACTTGAACCTCCAGTGGGATCTCAAGCTTCTGGTATTGCCAATGTACCTGTTGCACAAACAGAGCTGCCCAAGGAAAATATTTTAAAGTTAGACCGTAAGAGAAAGAGCTCAGTTAGTAGCCCTCCACTGAAGTCTTCACTGAAGTCTCCTGGCCAATCTGGTGTGTACTCTGAAGATGACAGCTCTGTGTCTAGTTCTCCTTGCTCACACTCTCCAATGAACTCTGAGGAACTCATGAATCTTTTTGTTGACTCAAACTTCAGTGCCACATCTGTTTTGAAACAGCTAGCAGAAAGTCGTTCCAAAGGAGATGAAAAACAGACAGACAAAGAGAATAACAATGACAAGACGAACAATAGTTTTGTCAATGCTGCAGCAGAAAGCAATGTAAAGAAAAAAGAATCAGGAAGTTCCATGGTTGATGTAACTGTATTTGACAGTTCAACCCAAATGGGGACTTTCCCCAAGAACTCTGGAACTCCAATATCTAATGTTGGGAATAATAGTTATGTTTCAGACACRAAGACAAGCAAACCATTCACAGGGGTTGGAAAGAACTTGGCTGTCTCTTCGTTATTTGGGGTTGGACCTAGTGGTAGCAGCCTGAATTTCTCTTCATCGTCTTTGTCAAGTATCAGTTCTGTGAAAACAAGCAGTGGATCAGGAAAGAGGCCTGCAAATACGCTGGGTGATTCATATTCTGGTTTAAGTCATCCAAGCTCTAAATATTCACTATCTTCATCTGAATTGACCTTTCATGATCCCCAGTCCAAAAGGGCAAGATTAGAGCTAAGCATTAAGAGAGAGAATTTAAACAAAGCAAATGAACAGAATCGACAAAAATCACCAGATTGTCCCTCATCACAATCACCAAAACCGCCCGTAATATCTGTATCATCTCCTTCAAACAGTCATTCCAGTGACATTTTAACGACTGCAACAAAAGCAGCAGCAACAACAACCACCGCATCAAATGTTGCCCTTAAAAATTATATGCAATATGGGTATTACTATAGTTCGGAGGACCTCAGTAGAGCCCTTGCTAAAAATGGGTCCTCAAAGAGCAAAAATACTCCCCAGACGAGCCTTTATGTGTCTGCTTCTTCGATTAGTACACCCATAATGAGCATATCATCAAACATTCATGCCATGCCGAAACCCCAGACCCAAAATAAACAGCCAACCTCAAAAGAACCAGCATCTGAGGTTTTGTCAAATAGTTGTACTTGGCAGCAGTCTGTGGACCCTAGCCACAAAACCAATGATCATCCTAACAGTGAATCTATTTCAAAGACTTCAGATTCTTCTAAAATGGCTATAAGGCCTCAATCATCAACTGACTTCCATGAAATTGCTTCAAGTTCTTCAATTGAAAAATCTACATCCGAGAAGAGCCAGTGTGAAGCAAGTGCTCTGAGCTTTACAACTAGTACATCTGGTGCCACAACTACTACCATCACTACGTCATCACCTACAGTGCTGACCTCTAGTGACGCAACGCCGCTTAGAGGCACTGTGCCTGATTCAAGCAGTAATATACAAAGTAATGGCAAATGTTATGCAATAAGCTATGTATATCCCATGGGAACTGTATGGTATCCATATGTGGCTATTACTCCTTATGCTGTGTTACAGAAGAATGCAAGGAAATCAAGTGGACTGGAAAGGTGCGAGAATGAAACAGAAGGGACGAGTGGTGCTTGTGATACTTCTTCCCAGTACATTGACTTGGCTAGCTCACTGAGGTATTGGCAACAGCTGAGCTTATTGTACAAGAATCAAATGTTAGTCACAGCATCAGCAAACCCTAATATTTTGAGCTCAACTCCTTTAACATTAGGTCAAAATGCGTTAGGGGTTTCCAGTAGCATGGCCTCTGAAGTGCCTGCTGTCCTTTCACAGCAGACGTCAATGATAGATTCCAAAAGCGAAAGAGCTTCATTCTCTTTTAGTTCGTCAGAGTTAAGCAGTGATATTACATCTGCATTCAGTAAACAACCAGGTCAAGATGGCTCTTCAAATTCAAGTGGTCCTTTAGAGAAAAAACCTCTTCGAAGGGCAAGTGTGATTGTTGCTGCAAAAACATCCAATGCAGTTTCATCCTCAAGAGCTAATAGTGAGGAGTCATTTGAAAACAGATTCTCCGTTTCAACTCCAGAATCTGATGTAAGCTCTGATGGCACGCAGATAAAATCTGAACCTCTTGTTATAGACAACTGCAATAGGCTTATAGAAGAACATTGCCAAAGAATGAATGAAGTTCTTGCAGCCACTCGAGGGGATTACAGCAATAACCTTGCAGCCAGTCCAACTCCACCTTTGCTTAGCTTTATTCCAGATAGCTCTATAGCATATGTTAATGTTGGAAACAATGGCTCCAAGAAAACAGGTACAAATTTATGCGCACTTTTTTTGAAAACCTTAGTTTTTAAAAAATCACTTTCATTTAAGCAGTTTAATGTTTTGAAATTGTTTTCAATATAATAATCACATAAGTAACAAGTTAAATTTTCCATAACTTTATGTTCAAGCACTTGTTCTTATATCAGCAGTAATGCTGAAAATGTTTAGGGATTCAGGCAAATGTTGAATAAAATTCAGCATATCTGATTGGTTGAATGTATTCAAAGTGATAACAGCTGTCATAATGATATATCTGTCAAATGCTTTACAGCTGTACGTAACCAGGGGCTTTTACAGCTTTTTCTGCAATATTTTCCCATTGCAGATTATGATTTATTCCCAAGAGTATCAATTATTTGTTTTAAAGTTGTGCATGAAAAGACACATTAATATGGATACAACTCAAACAAAGAATCTTATTCTGTAGGGAATTACTTGTGGTCTGTAAATCGTAAGAAAACATTGCTCAACAATGAACAAGGTCTTTTAAGTCTTACAGTGAAATTAATATTTTCTCTCTCTTTTTTTTTCAGCTGGAAATTGGAAAGATGGCAAATCCAAATCCTCAAAGAAAAAGAAATCCAACAAAGCCTTGTGAAAAGGCAAAAGTTTGTTTCCATACATGTTTGATACATAAAAAATATTATCACTGATTTGAACAGTCAATGCAGCTCATTAGAGTAATTTTTCTCAGACCGTGAAATAGTTAGTAGACTAATAGAGGCTAGTAAATCTTTTTTCCATTGTTTTCTTTTGTTCTGTTTGACTATCATACATCAACTACAAGAAAATGTTTCATGGTCTGAGGAAAATAAATAACTCTATTGTTAGAAGTAAGATAAAAATTATTGTATGATGCTAAACCATTCCAAAAATTATATGAGCCCTGAAATTTGAGATTTATACCAGAAAGAATTAGTATGAAATGAATTTTTTTTACCTTTATACAAATAGTTGATTTTAAATGAAGATACATGTATTTCTGTGATGCTTGATTGAATACGTATTGATGAAAATATGAGATGATATACATGTATGATTTATGAATATTTAGAAATTATTGATTTGTTACTGTTGAAAGTTCATGTTTTTAAAGAATTTATTAGTGCTCAGATTAATTTTGGCCTTCATTGCCTATAGCATTGATCATTATAGCACCTGTTATTTTACGATTGTGAGTGAGTGAGCAATAAAGTCATCAGAGGTCACACTCCAATAACCATAGAGATCTTAAGATTGGACTGAAGAACAGGGACTCCATACTAGCCTCCTCTGCAGGATACCCCATATATTCTGTTGTGCTCCCTGTGTTAATTATGGCAGAAGAGAACTAGGGACAAGAGAGGAGGTGGAAGGACTTTTTTGTGCTTGCCACAGGTAGCCTGAGGAGTAAAAAGAACCAAGGAGATGCCTGCAGGGGGATGCTACTGTTGTCCCTGCCTTTATTGTCCTCACTAGAATGTCAGTCAGATGGTAATATCGTCCTGTGTCACATTTCTTGCTCCTAAGCAATGATCTTACTGCAGTTTGCATTACTACGCGGCCACCCCAGACACAAATCAAGTCGTGTAGTTTGCAATTGATTGCTGTCAATCAAACACCTCATTCTACTTGGATGTACTCAAACTCTTTGCAATCGCTTTTGGAACTTTCCTTCATGATGTCTGACTGAGAAGGTTTGATAGAAAAGCCAACTTACTGATCCAAACGTGTATAAATGGCATCAACATGAATGATTGATGGTAGTCTATTGCAAACTACACGACTTGATTTGTGTCTGGGGTGGCCGCGTAGTAATGCAAAGGGCGCTAAAGTTTTTCACAGATATATGGCATGCACTCTGTGCTTTTAAAATAGCATAGTATGCTTATGAACTAACCAAACTCAAATTTGTGCCATCATTTATCTCAGTAAAGCCATGAACATGGTAGCTGCTTAAAAAGAAATATTACTTTTGAGAAAAGAATTGGAAAGGTCTAATGAGATAGCAATATCCTTTGATCCTGTAACACTCTCCATAAGAATGGAATGCTTGGAAATAGAACATTTCCAGTGACTTTAAATCTGCTCTTGAAGTAGCAGAAGAGTCAGGGCTTAAAACAACGGCCAATCAGTTGCTGGTCATAATCACAGGCCAAATTAGCCTTAACTCAGCAATACCTTATTTTTGACTTAACGTTACTGGTCAAAATGACCAGCCAAGCAAATATTTGACTGGACAAGTCCCAGTTCTTGCCAGATATTGTCTGATGTCTGGCTGTTATTTTAAGCCCTGAGAGTTAACATTGTGTTTGCCCAGTGCAGACAATCATTGCAGAACATTTCCAATTGGTGCTTATACACGTTTGAAAAAAAAGTATTTATACTTAGAGTACAATTAATGTAGGCCTAGTGAATAGAAAAGAAGTACATGCTTTGAAGAAAAAACTGTCACATTCATGCTATTGGTATTTTGGTTTACATTATTTTTCAATAGTTTTCCCCCCAGATTTCACAGAGTATTTTTCTAGGTTGTCAATCATATATTTTTTTAGAAGTCCATTTATTTATATTGTTTGGCAGTGTTATCGAAATTATTGAGTTGAAAATCATACTTTTATAAGAATAATTAGTTTATCAAACAAGTGTAATAAAAAAGTATTGAGCTAATAAAGTTTGTATTTTGTTATTGAGATTGTTATACAAGAGAGTACTGCAGTGATTTTGTACTCACAACACCAAATTGATTGCAAGGTGACTATAAGAGGACTGAAGACCAGCTTTAGAGTTGAGGGCCATATATTAAATTTAAAAAACTCATTAATRATTCAYGAAGGAAACAATAGAAATCATGACTGGAGGTTTTACATCTGATATAGATTCGTCTTCATTTGCATAAACTTTAACTTGGATTTTCTCTATCAAACTTGGTTCATTTCGTAAAGAATTAACTTACATCATGAGTTTTTTAAGACGTTTAATAAACTTGCAGATCGTGTTTTATTGGGTCTAAAACCACTCGGCTACGCCTTGTGTTTTATACCTGATAAAACACTTCTGTTTGTTCATCAAACATTACTTATTTAAATATTTATAGGATATGAGACTAAACGTGGGGGGAGGGGAGGGCTATGGGGGTAGAGACTTGAAATTTTAAACAGTCTCTTTATTTTAACAATCAAGGTAAAATCAAGGGAATCCTCTGCAAGTAATTACAATACTTGGTTACAAATAGAATCCACATCCATTTATGACAAAAGACTGTTTAAAATCATAGCAAAGTTTTTATTTTAATATTTTTTCTTTGGACAGAAGTTTTTTTTCATTCTATTTTATGTTACAGTGAGGATAATTTGGAGATAAAGGTTTCTTTGTTCCTTGACTTGATAAAGATCTTGTACAATGACAGCATGAATCAATAAACAAACATACCAACCTACAAAAGTGAAGACTGTTGTTATGATACACGAATCACTATGATTTTGACTTCTAAATACAGATATTATTATGTAATGAACAACAAAATATAAAAATATGAAGCATATACATATTGATAGCATTGGTACTATCGTCGTGTACGGATTAACGAAGTACGTCAGGTTTCTGAACACATGAGTGGGACTTAGAAATTTTGGTTCTCCTCACTAAGAAAATAAATTAAGTGAAGACACCAAGAATCGAACTCGGTACCTTTGGCACCAAAGAACTACTACAATGCCAACCCTAACCCTAACCCCTAGACCACAAAGAGAATTCAGTTGGGTGGTCTCATTTTTTAGTCATATTTAAAAAATGTATCATCAGCATGTGCGCATAAATTTTTATTATGGTTTAATTTATGCTATCGTAGGGTACGACTACTAGCTGGTTACTTGAAATTTGAATTTGAATAGAATTCCCCTGACAATTCCTGTACATGACGATACAACCATAGCATTTAACACAAAATCAGAAATCTCTGACTCCACGAGAACAGAATATACATAAGATTTAACAGTTACATATACTCACAATTTTGGGAAAAATTACAATAGAATTAATAAAAATTATTCATCTTTTCTTTTTGGATTGTTGACTGCAACATAATGGTACAATACGACCAGTAGGAATAGTGATACGCCAAGGATGTTAGCAAAGGCAGCAAGTTGAATATCTGATATCATGACTGTACAACAAAACAGAAGAGGGCTCAGTGTTAACACAGGAATGATGGAAATTGTGCAATTCTACTTCTAGTGAGTGACTTAGATTCAACAAAGCTACAATGATCCAATGACTCATGGAATAATTAAAGCAAGTTATTACCAAATTCATTTTTGGTTGATTTTACAGTTAGAACAATTTTTATTTCAAAAGGGAGCAGTTCATATCCCTGATTAATAGCTGTCAATAAAGCTAGTTGCTGCACCCCACATGTATAAATAGAAAAGATTCAGGACCATCATACAGCACAATGACTTCAACAACTGCTAACTAGTGTTTTTCAGCCAATCACATTCCGAGTCTAATAAAAAAATCAAGTTCCATTTGTACGGAAATCCGAGGACGATGTCCAAACTTCTTGATGACTGTAACACAATGCAACACTATTTATACCGCGTGATAGCTAGCACTGAAAAGGCAAATTAGTCGTACCATTTTCATTTCTACACCTGAATACTACAGGTAGATGCCTGTTAAGCCCTTGCTAAACAAGAAAACATGTTTCCATACACATGCTTTGTTAATTGTTTCTAAAGGTGGCCAAAATCTCAGGAAACATTGGAAAACAAGTGTAACATTGTTTCCATCCAATGTGGAAACACAAAATGTTTCTGCTGTACTGGAGAAACATATTTTGCTTCCAGGTAGCAATATTTGCTGTGTGTAGCAATATTTTGTATGTGGCTAAACTGGGAAACTTCAAGGAAGCATGCAAACAGTAAACATGTTTCTGGAAAAATGTTTAGTCTTCCAGCCAGAGCTTGACAAAGATATGATATACAACTTTGTATCATAGCTAGATGTTATTGTATAGTAAACCTAACCTGGCTTTAAATCATGATACAAGCCAGCCAGAGAAAAATACTAGTCAGAGGGGAGGGGGGAGGAAACCCAAGAAAAAATTTGATTTCATTCATTGCATGTATGGTTACCAACCTTTGTTAGGAGAGGGGGGGAAAAATCAATGTGCAGGTGTTAGGAGAGAGGGCATTCCTTGAATAGCTTTCATTGAACTATAATATGTATATTTTTTACATTGCCTTTGCAAGCTATAGAATGTACCCAACACGGCCCATAGCAAAATCAAATATTTAGCACCCAATATTACCATGCTTTATAATAGCTATTTAGAGTATAATAGAGTATTATTACTACAAATAAGAATTCAAATTTCTATAAAATTGATATTGTTGATAATGTAGAGTAATCAAAAATGTATCATAGCAAAGCATCC